CCCGTCCTTCGCCCACCGTCTTTGTAACCTTTGCCGACTCCTTCATTCGGTTCCCATAATGGGTGGCCCCCAGGTGCTCGATGGATGGGCTATGGCCTTCGTCATTCCCAGTCTTCTCCCCCTTTCCCCCTTTCCCACCGCCTCTACCCCAACACTCATGGACCCCGGACCATCTCCTCGATGTCTGCAAGCAGCCTCTGCTTTGCGCAGAGCATTCAGTTCGCCGGCTGTGCGGCTGGCCTTGGAGCGTGACTGTGATTGCCTGGATCAGGAAAGTTTTTGCCAGATTTGTCACAAGCTCTGTAGATCACCACTAGCTATTTGGGTGAAAAGCCCAGGAATGGGACTAAATTGTAATTGACTGCCTTTTTGGGAAATCAAGTTACCTAATTAGGGCATAGTGTTGCATAGGTCACACTTTAGAACACATTTTCAGAGCATTTGCAGCGGGAATAAATGCCTTCATGCCTGCAGTGTCTGACCTCACTGACATTAAACTACTATGCTTCTATTATCGGTAGCCCTACGCCCAACTTGTTCATTTACACATCTTCGACACCGCCTACGGCCATGTATAAATAATGTATTTAAACAAAATGAAAAAAGGTAGATGCATTGCATTTTTTTCACATTTTGAAAAATTTAACGCTCCATGCATCAGACGTCTGCATTGCAATCCATTTGTTCATATCTAATTCACCGGATTTCCATCAGGATTTCCGTTCAGGATTCAGCCTTCAGTGAAATTAGGCAAGCGTGAAGTGCATTCTGTGTGCTCCAGAGATAATGATTTGATAGTGCGGTATCATCTTGGTCATAAGGTGCGCGCTGCGATGAAGGCTCTGAGCCGGAGCGCATGAACTCCCCAGATTCTGCAGTGTAGATTATAGCAGGGAGACAAGACTTTGTTGGATTAGAGATGAGCAGCTTGTCAGGACTCATGGCCTACAGCACATCCTGGAATCAGGCATGATTATATGTGTGTGTCACAGTGGGTCAAAATCACAAACTAAGCATGTTTTTTGTGGATGAAGTGAACAAGAAATGTGATTGAATGATGACAACTTCAAAAGAATTCCAAAAAACCACAGCACCCAGGATTCCCGCGTGGTCCCCCACCGTGGTACTAACTAGGCGGCACTCTGGTTAACTGCGCAGATCGGACGGGATGCGGTGCTTTCAGAGTCCTATGGCCGTGGATATAAATGTAGCTTCTTAAACCCCTATATTCTCATTCCTTCATATGTTTTACGGTATACGTAAAGCTTTGCTGATTCAAACTGAAGTACATCAACGTCACCACCGTATTCCGCCAGGATCCACACCGTATCGGTAGACACGGCAGTTTTGTAAAACCCTCGGACAGTCCGTTGGTCGGATATCCTGCGCTAATCACGAACAAATACTTTGAACCCCTATAGGTAGGTAGAAAACGTTACTCTTTTTCTAACCATACACGCATTGAATAGCCTGCCAGCGAGCAGCGAAGATTGCAAAGGTCATATCGAAGCACCTATGCCCGCATAACTCCCCATCGAGATTACAGACCATATCATCGACCACCTCAGTGATGACATTGCATCACTATGCAGTTGCTCCCTTGTGAGCCATGCATGGGCTCCCCGAACCCGAAAGCACCTATTTCACAACATCAAGTTGAGACCTGGCCATCCGATTCTCGGTGTTTTGGCAGCTGACGCGGGCGTGCGTCCTCTATTGAGCAAAGCCAGGAGCTTTGAGCTTGTGCTCGACCCAACAGTGCCCGGCCGTCACGAAATGCTCTCACTTTCTCACAATAACAAGTCGTCGCTCGGTCCGGCCCTTTTACTTCCTTCTGGTGGGATAGATGAAGAGACGATCGCGATGCTCGTCGGGAGCATGCTCAAAGTTTCCTCTCTGTCTCTTAAATGCAGAATTCCACCCCAATGCAGTACCTGGCCCGTCACCCGTTTCCGCTCACCGCTACTCAGGCTTCAGGCAGTGACTCACTTCTCCGCACACGACGTATACTTCACCAATCTGGGACAGTTCCAGTATGTCATATGCCAGTGGCCCCAGCTGCGCACCTTAACGTTGTACAAAGTCGCGTTCCGTACGTTCGACAGCTACGATGTTGATATCGGCAAACTGCAACTACGGTCATTGGAGTTGAGTAACATGCAACAACAGCGGACTTTGGATTATGTACTCGCATTGTTTGCGAAGGCATTATCATCCCGGTCCATCCAAACCCTGAGGATCTGGGAAGAGGCCCTTTTTGGGGAAGAGACCGAACATGCCATAGACGACTTGCTTCGTACACTGGGTAGCTCACTACGGCGCTTTGATTTTCCATGGAAATACGACCTTTTCAAGAAGCCTCGGACTGATTGTAGGTTCAGCGCATGATCATAAAGGTCTCATGTGATAGCTGACCCCGGCATTCTCTAGTTTGGACGCCGCAGTTGCAACATTCTACTGGCTTACAGTATCTATGCATAAATTGCAGTCGCATGTGGGTGCTGTTTGAGGACCTAGCGAACATGCTCTCGCGCATGATGCTTCCCGAGCTGAGAGCGATTCATCTGGTCTTCGACGCATACTGTTCAGAGCAGTCGGCCAGAGTCCTCGACTTGCCTTACATAGAAGAGGAGATAGGACGGTGGAGGGCTGTGGAAGATAACCTGCAGCAGCATTCTCCTACCCTGCAAGAGTTTGTGATATGGAGAACCGTGCACCAGGCCAGTTGGAGGTCGTTTGCGGATGAACGTTATTCTGCGGCGTGGGTCCAGGTGCTCCCGAGACTACACGCCCGAGGCATACTGCATATCAACGTTCGGCCAACGAATCGTGAGTGTTGTCTCAGCTACCGCTTCCGGCATTGAGAGACTCTGCTGACAACTCGGCCTCCATCCAGCTATACCAGGGCCATTTGATAATGTACCGGCTCGCATGCAGTCCTAATAAATCCGTTGATGCATGTATCCAGTGACCAAGCTAGCTGATATTGTATCACGGTGCTTTGCAATGTATTGTCGCCGTGCTTTCCTGATTGCTGTATACATTCAATTAATTGTCTGTATTTTGAGCTCGTCATGACTTCCTGCAACACGAAGACTGGAAGATGTTTTGATCGGTAGTATCATCTTGGTTTGATCGTAGAGTTTACGGAATGCCAAAGAACGTGTGATACAGTGATGCTTATATGTCATGAAAAGCATTCCAAACTAATATAGTCAACGATATGTTCCCATTACCTGCCGTATCTGTACATGTTCAGCCTACAAAGCAATCTCGACATCAAGCTTCGCCAGGTACTGATATACATCCGGCGACATGCGATATTTCAAGATGCCCGCAAAGATCATCAGCGAGCGCGACTTTCTACGCAGAGCAGCCAGCGTCTGTGAGAACAGTTGAGCATCTGTGTCAAGAACGAAGTGGTGAGACTCGCACCGTTTGTCTCGCAACATCAGCCACCATCGAGCCCTTGATCTTCTTGTGAACGCTGACCAGGATGTCCATCGTCAGCATAAGGAAAGTCTGCAAGTTCCGCTGCAGAGCATCCGGAAGATCGTGGAACTCTTCAGCGCGGTGTTGAATTTTGGCAACGTCCCCGCTCAAGGGAATGAGATCCGTCGATTCCACAATCTACCATCTGCGTCAGCTCTGCTACAAACTGAAGCGACCCGATGCTCGTACCTCCAGCGCAGTCTCAACCTTGCCCGCATCCTTGGCATCCATGGCTTCCCGAACACGCAAGAGCCTGATGACCGCATCCCTGTCTTTCCCAGGAGCTCTATTGGTCCGCTCGTAGTGCCGCAGAACATCTGCAGCGGTCCGCTCAATCGCACGCGCCTTCTCGTCTCCGCTGGGCTGTGAGATCGTGTTCCCGAGAGCTTGCGCAAGGCATCCGATGACCGTGTTGTAGTCGCCCGCGAGGTTGTACAGCTTGATAGCCTCCGGGATGCGGTCGTTCTGCTCTGAAGTTTTGGCCGCGCGTATGAGGATCTGCTCATTGTACTGGCGTGGATCCTGAAGCTCGAGTAGAGGCGCGCCGTTCTTGATGATGCCTTCCTGAACGTCATAGTCAGCACGAGGCCTCTTCGCAGGGCCTGGGAACGTACAAAAGGAGTACCATCGGGTCGGAAGCCACCGACGAGTTCCTCCCATGGAGCGCCGGCGTTTGCGAGCACGATGATGCGGCGGACAAGTTCCCATGCAGTCTCAAGCTGCTCCTGACCAGTTCCTTCGCTTTGATCTGAGCATAAGCTGACACAGTAGACATATTGCAACGCCTCGCGAGCATCCGTTCGCACAAATCGGTACACGTAACGCCAGATGATTGTCGACAAGCTCAAAGCAGGAGGTGCATTTGATGATAGGGTAACTGGGCAGTACTGCATGAGCTTTGAGAGACTTATACAGCGATCTTTACTCACGCGGCATCACATCTGATGTCTCTGCCCGGGAAGGGACGCGCAACAGGCCGTAGTATGCCAAAGCAATGGCCAAATGGACAGCCTCGACCTCTGTCTCTTCATGCTCCCACAGCGCTGCCACAGCCTATGTGTGAAGTCAGCCACTTTCTAATGAACGCCCTGCCGCAACGTACACGCTCAAACTGCCCGCACATAAGCAGCACTCCGGCCCAAACACCCGTTCGGGCATCCTTTGATCCGGGAGCGCCATTAAACTGCTGTTCGCCATAACTGAGGAGTACCTCTGCGAGGGCACGAAGACCACCGTGCTCCGCCTCGTCTACCTGCAAACAACGTTAGTTCCGCATACATGAATCACATCAACTATAAATACCATAGCGAGCTGGAACCAGAGCCAGTCCTCCGTGGTGACTGTGACGTGCTGGACACTTCGCCTTGCAGGATCAATCTTACCCATCAGCTTGTAAAGCGCAAGCTTGAACGGGTCTGTCGTCGCCGAATGCAGCATGTGTGCATTGAACGCTGCATGGACTTGATCTCGATGCGGCTTGGGCAACCTGCTAAAATGAGCACAGCTTCGGATTCGAAAATAAAACGTACTTACCGTCTTTCAGGTGATTCAATCCATGTGTTAAAGTGACTCAAGAATCCAGCTTCACGCAACTCAATCGCATGTTGGGACTTGATAGCCTCTTCTAATGCTTCCTGCGTATGCCCTGTACGCACAAGGTAGAATAGTTTCGCCCATACTGGCTGGCCTGCGATCAACTACATACAGTGATCGTGAACAGAGCCCAAGTTCACACAGGAACGTGCTTCGTACCTCAATTCGATCTGCCCATTCTCCGTTCCGATAGTGTCTCACCAGCACGAATGCGCGGACCTTGTTGGCCATACTGGGATCGCCGCCCAGCATGGCCTCGAGTGGCCGAGCCTGAATAGTTCGCTCGAGGATGTCCCAATACTGCTCTTCGAGAGCTTCTCTTGCGCCACGCGCAATCTGCTTGCGCAGCTCAACCGCCTTGCGTGCCTCTGGGTCGCCGAGGTATGCGCGGGCATACTTACGTTCAAATATAGACGCGTTCAACACGTGTGCTGCGGCGTGTTCTAACGGGGGTAGGGAAGGAGGCTCTGCAGTAATCTTAGCAAGGATGTGGAAATTTTGCGTGTGTTGTAGAGCGCGCGGCTGTTGTTGCGAGTCAGTGAAAGGCACAGAAGTCGCAATCCTGGAAACTCACGTTCGGATTGAGAGACAGGGATGCATTGATCAAGGCATGGACTATGGGGAATGATGTCCCGCGCCGTCTGGCATTGTTAAGCTCGATAATGACGCGGTCGTAGGCCATCATCTTGCTCTGCGCCTGCGGACTCGGGACAGAAGCCGCGGTCGACATCTAAAGTCAACGTCGGTCTGTCTCCTTCAACCCTCAAAAATCATGAGAACGAACAGCCAAGATGTTCTTGCCACGCGTGCTCTTCTTCAGCTCAGATACCGCCCTGTTCTCTCCCCCAACACGACTACCTAACCGCTCAAATATGCGCTTTTTCCTCGCCTCCCAGTCGCTCTGTTGTTGGTTCTCCAGGGATCTGTAGAACTCTTTCTCCGTGTCCATGCGTCCCTCTTCGATGGTCGTAACCAAGTTTTGTTCGTGTGCATGGCGGAGGTAGCCCGCGACATCCGTGTCTTGCAAGGCCTGTAGCGGAGTAAACGTGGTGGCGGTGTTCAGATGCGCGATGGAGCTTCCGAGTGCAGGGGCATCGACGTGCGCCTGAGCGAGGAGGTAATTTCTGTGCGCAGAACGGAGAATTAGCACGATAGCTATGATGCTTAGAGTGGGCGGACGTACGCGCGATCCTGGTCAGTAGACGTTCCCGGCTGTCGAGCGACAAGGCGACGAGACTGGGCCTCGATCTGGTCCAGCGAGAGATTCACAGAAGGCAAGTCCGGGCGCGAGAGGTGGGACGTCAAGGCCTTCGAGGACGACAGGAGCGAAGACAGATCTGCTGCCATGGCGTTCAAGAGCGATTACAGCAGATGAGAATATGGAGAAAGCGGAAAGCAGAGCAAAATGGTTCTTTATGAAGGCCGTTGCCACTCAATCAACATGCAAACGAGAATAGAGCGGGTGGCTGGAGTGGCAGAGAGTTTGACGTTGAAGACAAAAGCAGACGCCCAAGTTGAAGACGCGCCGTGCCACAAACGCGTTGAATACAGGCAGCCACCGTTCACGCTTTCTTGACTCAAATATAATAGCAAATTTGTTTTAATCTACAATCGAGAGCACGATATATGCGGTCATTTTCTACCCCACCAGCCTCCCAGCAAGCTGCTTAATCCACCGCGAGCAGACGCAGATGGTTCCGGCGTAGGAGCTCTCTCGACCTCCTCCGCCTTCGCCTTCGCAACTGCCTTCCTCTCCGGCACCTGGGCGACAGGAGCAGCCTCTTGTACAGGTCTCGCAGTTTCCACCTTCTTTCCCGCGCGCTCCTGCAACTTGTCCATATCGAGCTTCACATAATTCAACGCAATGTCGAAGAAGAGTGGCTTCTTGTACGACCGGCCATCGTCGCCGACCACACCGCCGTTGAATGCAAACCAATCGCTCTTATAGCCTTCGCTATCTTGTGTTACCTCCTCTTCAAGCTGATCGATGTCGGCGGCGGTGAGCGAGTAGAATGGCGAAGAGTTTGACGCGATTGGGTCGGTGTCCGCGATGACGGAGAGAACAGAGCGCGCCTCCCGCAGATGTATGGTTGCATGCTGGGAGAGCGTGAGCGCTTCCGCATATCGCTTGAGGGGAGCGTAGCAGCGCGCGAGATAGCGACACCTTGAGATCTGTCAGCGTTCATCCGAGCTGCAGGAGCGAGACCGGACCAACCTTCGAGCCTTCGTGAACGACAGCCGCGCTTCCACAGCGGAGGCAAGATCAGGGCTCTCGTCCACGATAGCGAGCGCACGCATTTGGTCGAGGCTTTGAATGATCGTATCTAGGAGCTTCACCACTGCGGGAAAGAGCCGTGCATCCACCCGCTCCTTGTGCGGCTTCGACGCACCGCCCTTCTGGTCTGCGTCCGTATGCGCCTGCGATTGGTGAAGCAGCGTCGCAATGAGTAGAAGATCTCGCTGAATGCGGTAGGAGAGAAGTTGGTAGACGATATACGCATGCACGAATTGGATGTCCCTCGTTCCTGCTGCGAGGCTGATAGTTGAACTACTCAACTATGCGAATGCAAATTAGCACAATCGTAAAGCAGACTGACAGAAGTCCCACCTGCTGCACCTCTACCAGCTTGCGCGCTACCTCCTCCGCATCGCTCAACGCCAACAGAATCGCGTCATACGCCGCGACGCCACGCTTCGAGCGGGCACCTTTGCCTGCCTTCTCTTTCTTCTTCCCTCCCTCAGCGGCATCCTGTACAATGGGCAACTCCTCTGCGCTCTTCAGTCTCGCCTCCGCCTCCTGCACCCGCAGTAAGACGTCCACTAGCTCTGGATTACGCACAGGTACCGGCTCGTCTTCCCACATCACAGGTTCGAGCTTCTTCTGTCCCCCGGCAGCACTCGACGCTTCCTTCCCCAGGCTTGCCAGCAACGCATCGCATCCTTCGACAATCTCGTTGCGGTGCTTAGGAGCCACGTCCGCGACAATCGCATCGACGTCGTACGAGTTCTCACGGCGCAGCTCGTGCGCGCAGTATCGAATCTCGGGGCCGATCTCGTCTGCGAAGGAAACTGCCAGGGCCTGGTCGCGACTGGTAGCTGCCTTCGCGGCGAGCTCATCAAGCAGGTTGCGAGCAACGCTAAGCTGTATCAACGCATCTTCATAATCGTAACGGTGGCGCAGGAGACGACCGTTGACGATGAGCGTATAGACTGTTGCTTGGACGAGGTTTTCCGCGGACAAACGCGAGGAAGCATACAGCGCCTGACAGTGAGATAGCAGCTGCGTGGCCCAGTTCACGGCACGGCGAAGGCGGCTTGTCGCGTGCCTTCTCAGCGAGGCTGCGTCGCTATGATGACCCTTGGGTGGAGCACCCTTCCGGTTGGTGGCCAGTTGAGGGGTTTGTTGGGACAATTCTTGAGAGTACACCCATGCCCTCTCGGACTCGAAGAGCAGCAGCTGAAGGCTGGCTCTTGAGTTCAGGCGCTGCTCACCTTTGGAGATGCGACAGTACTCACTGGCCATCCTGAATAGCATCCAGAATCATAGGCGGCAGCTTTTTGAACTCCCTCCCTTTGCCATGGGTCATCTTGAGAGACGACCGAAGGCGGTGCGTCCTGTTGGCACAGTGCTTCCTGAGAGACTGTTAGACATTCCCGTTCGTGTGCTAGGAATATTCTTGAATACACCTGTAGCGTTCATAGTCATTGTACCTCAATCCATACGCATTCCGTTGCTCGTTCGCCAGTAATAATGCTGTACATGCTCAGCACGTAGACGACCGCAGTTTGACCGCCCACGTACCCTGAAAATGGACTTGCGTATCTGCGGAAGACTGTTCCATGTTTTTAGAACTTGCTCGAATGCGCCAGGGTTAGCGCGAACGTGCTCGGGGATGCAAGACGCGTCAGTCTGATGGCTATGATCGAGTCGAGCGGCGTGCATACCACGTACTACTCTCGCGTTTCCCTCTCACTTTCTCCACCTCGTTTCCACGTCGCGCCTGCATATTAATTAATGGCTACGGAAACACTAGAGCCGACTCTCCAGAACATCCTGGATCAAAAGTCGTTGAAGTGGATATTCTGTGGCAGGTCTGCTCGCTGCTCTGCTCACGTTGCCCGCTCACGAAGTTACATGCTATTTAGGTGGTAAGGGAGGTGTCGGTGAGTGCTCGACTCATATGCTCAGCCTGATATCCGTGTTCACTGTGCTGCGACAGGCAAGACAACCACATCATGTTCACTTGCAATCCAGCTCGCGAAATGCCGTGAATCCGTCCTCCTCATTGTACATTGCTCAACATCTTATTATGTATCGTCTCAACTAACGTCCCTCGTCTGACAAGTCCACAGATCCCGCGCACAACCTCTCCGATGCATTTGGCCAAAAGTTCTCGAAGGAAGCGACAAAGGTCAACGGCTTCGACAACCTCTCCGCGATGGAGATCGACCCGACAAGCGCGATCCAGGAGATGGTCGAGCAGTGTGGGTGGGCTCATATTTTGCGTTCAGAGCTGTACACTGAACGAGCCACGTTGCTTAGCTGACTCGAATGGCATGATGGGTAGCATGATGCAGGACCTTGCGTTTGCGATTCCGGGTGTGGACGAAGCGATGAGCTTCGCCGAGATCATGAAGTGCGACTTCCCCTATAGCTCGTACATCCCATGCTGATTGCACGCATTATTTCAGGCACGTCAAGTCAATGGAATACTCAGTCATCGTCTTCGACACTGCACCAACCGGGCACACCCTCCGCTTCCTATCTTTCCCGACAGTACTCGAGAAAGCACTGGGAAAGCTGAGCTCACTGAGCGGACGCATCGGGCCCATGCTCAACCAGGTTCGCTCACACTTCTTCGCGCAATGGCATTGATCACGGACTCGGTCGTCCGTAGATGACGAGCTTGATGGGCGGCCAAGCTGACGCGCCAGAAGACATGTTCGCGAAGCTCGAGTCCATGCGCGCCGTCATCACGGAGGTCAACACACAGTTCAAAGATCCCGTACGTCACCTCTCGCACTCACGTTGCTAATCACATGCTCATTTACATTTACCAATCCTGTCCACAGGAGAAGACGACGTTCGTATGCGTTTGCATATCCGAGTTCCTCTCGCTATACGAGACAGAGCGGCTGATCCAGGAACTAACCGCATACGAGATTGACACACACAACATCGTCGTCAACCAGCTCTTGTTCCCAAAGAAGAGTATGTCCATTTCTCGTCACATCATAATCGTCTCTGACCGACCCCCGATTGCTCTTCCAGGCTCCAACTGCGAACACTGCCGAGTACGGCATAAGATGCAGCAGAAATACCTGAACGAGGCGCACGAGCTATACGACGAATTCTTCCACATCATCCAGCTACCGCTGCTCACCGAGGAGGTCCGTGGCCCGCAGAAGCTGACGGAATTCAGCAAGATGCTCGTGGAGCCCTACGTGCCTGATCTCGATTGATAACTTATATGCTGTGCTGTTCGCTTACTTCCTTCACGCTCCGCGATCCTCGATTCCCATTCGGAACAGTCTTGTTAGATCGATCATCCATTCATTCGATTCGATACAAACGACTGCATTCGAGCACAGAGTCCTGTAACAATCTTCATTTCTGTTTCCGTATGCGGAGTGCATGTACGTAGTACTGCGTATCTGCGGCCCTCGGATACCTTCGGAATTAGTACTAATAAGATAGAAACGAAGGGTGAAGCTGGAACCAAGAAGGCGAACAGAACACAGGAGACGAGAACTATCCGCATGCGAGCGTAAGAGAGCAATGCAAAAGACTAAGCAATGAGAGGAACGGAGAGTTAGAGATACAGGTGATACATAGTGAGAAACCGGCAGGAGGACAGAGGTGTGAGGGGCGGATACATTTAGGGCTGGCCCGTGGGAGCGCGACGTGTTAATGATACACTGACGTGTCCCATCCAACTCCCTCTCTACGCACCCTGGTCCGGCAGGCATCAATTGGCCAAAGGAACCGTAATCGATACAAAGTTGATACACCAACGCAAGGCGGAATACGAAGGATGAGCCGTGATTGATGAAGCGCCCGGCATGCCAGATACATCGGCGCATGACGTGGTGATGGCCACAAGGGCTACTGCTTGCCCTGCTGTTGCCTCTTGGCGGCGAGCGTCTCAATGATGTGGTGTACACCCTGAGGCTCAAGCACGACCTTCGTCCCGTCACATCTTGCCTTGCTCGTGAATTCTGAGCAAAGCTCATTGATATCAACATCCTATGAGATTGAACGAGATGAGCCACCAAACGACACAACTTCGAGAGGAAATGGCACGCACCTTGAATTGAGGATTGCTCGTGATGCTCCGCCACGCAGTGAGCACTTCGACGTTCTTGTCGCTCTTCTCCGTCGGTGGGAACGAGCTCCCCTTGCACATGATCATCGGACCGCCACTCTCATCCGCATGCTTGCGCAAGAAGGGCGCAATAGGCATGTCGCATTGTGTGAAGGACGAGCTGCCCTCCTTCTGAATGTGCTTCGCCAGCTCCTCCTTCGTCTTCGGACACTGGTTGGTACCCGTGCAATCTCCGCCATTGCCAGGACTTGATAATGAGGACGATGATGGTGATGACGACGATGTTGAGCGGAAACTCGCGTGTGAGACGGGACTTATCGAGCTCGGTGGGCTCTTCAGCAGCGCATTGAAATCCACGCCATTCTGTGGGCCAATATAGTTTCCACCGAACAATTGGTCCAACCCGCTCGACTCGTCCGGTGGTGTCCAATCACTAAACGAGCCGACATCAAAGTTATTGAAATAGTTTGTGTTTTGTCCATTGCCGTTCTGTGCGTTGCCATTCTGCCCATTCCCGTTCCCGGTGATGGACTTGGCTGACGAGTCGTACGGAGATGGCTCAGCGAACGACATGAACATGGGGTTGGCCGCGATTGTCTTGTACTGACAATGTGGCTGACCAAAGCCAAAGTCCATGTTCATCGCCCCCTCTGTCGCCGTAGGTTCTTCCGGCACGTTCAACATGTTCGGATCGAACGAGATGAGCGAGTTGAAGTTGAGTGGTGGATGCGGCTGCGGCGGTGATATGGGCGCTCTGCTCGGTCCAGCTCCAGGTGATGCAAAGTTGAACGATTGCGGCGGGTTGCCATTGGTGGTACCAAAGCCCCCGTTGCCCATATTGGACCCATTGTCTCGAGGCACCGAGAACGTAAACGCTGCTTGCTTCAGCATCATGTTCTCATTCTGAAGTCGAGACAGTAGGTCACGGAGGTTCTCGTTCTCCGACTCGGTCATTTGGTTTTTTGCCTCGAGGGCAGCGACTTTGTCCTCGAGCTGACAGGCTAAAGGTCAAGCAACAATGGTGCACAGAACTCGGGACACACGCACATCCTTGACGTGTTTCTCCTTACGCTCTCTAAACGCCCTTTGGGCGGCACGGTTCTGCTCCTTACGTTTCAACAGACGGGTCTCATCCTGACATTTCACGCCAAACTTAGATTACTAACACGACTGGTGAAGGAGAATGTGACGCACTTGCGAAGGGTTTCCAGTGGACTTACGACGAGAGCTCGTCATCTTCTTATTGTGAGCTGCAGAGGCTACATCACCGCAGCGATGAGTACCGGAGAAACAGTCAACCGACAGTAAGTATGACGTACGAGAAGGGGTGGTTGTATGCTGATTCTTATGCGACGGTTCATCAACCATACTATCGTGGCTTGCTTTACGCTTGAGTCCCGGATCCTCCGGCTCCACGCTGGTGGACGCAGACGTCGAATTGTTGAACACCCCTGACTCTGGCCTCGAAGGGCTATGTTCATGGTTGATACTTGGAGGACTGGGGCTGCTGTCGCTGGAAGGGGGAGTAGGATTCGGTATTGGGAAACGACTGAGGTTTTGGGGATCAACGACCTCGGGAATGCCATCAAAGTGGCTGATGTTGTTGTTGCCCACGGCGCTGGGGAATTGCTTCTCCAGGAACGCAAGGAAATCGTCATCCGGCAGCGCAGAAAACGTGTTTGGCTGCTGCGAGAGATCCCAAAACTGCTGCACTCCACCGAAAGGATCCATGATCTGCTGGGATTACTGAGATAGCTGCGTGCGTCAGGTGAGAGGTGGTCCGATCAAGCCCTGTGCCGGGGCAGGATTTGCAGTGCTGAGCAAGACGATGTGATATAATACGGGTCGGGATTTGTCAAAGACGATGGCAAGCAGACGATGCCGTCGAGAGAGCGTGGAGGACGTGGGCGGCGTTGGTCTCAGAGATGGCCGTGAGGATGGGATGGAGGGAACGGTGGGTTAGACGGGCGGCCATTGCCGAGGAGAACTCAAGTCAGCTGCACTCCGCTCAGCCTCCGCCTGCCTCCGGCCAACAGCCTTCGAGCCGGAGTTTGAACTGGACGGCACGCGCCACATTGATCTGCTGACCAATGCATCCCGCCGCCGCTCACGCTTCCGAGCCCAAGGTTGCCGCATGACTCGCTTGTGCATCGGAGCCCTGCCGCCTCATACGCGTCCCTCTGCCGATTTTCTTTCAATCCACTCAAAATCTACCTGCATCGCTTCTCTGAGCGAGAGTTTACGGAGAGGCACTAGGCTTTGATATATCCTCGCGGTTTCTGTGCTTCTTCTGAAGAGTCTCCGTCCCCCGGCATCCAGATCGTGCCAGAAGCATCTGCCGACAGGCCCGAGCTTCCCCAGCTGTAGCTTCTGACAACCTCATGATCTGCAATGCACCACAGTGTGAGCGCGCGAAGGCACTGCATGCGACGTCGGCCTTTTTGTCCGCATAGGATCATTTATGCGGCGTTCCAGCCAATTTATCCGTGGGGTGAGTACGCTCGACCGTATACATCCATATGTGGCCGGACGAATGGGCCACATCATCCAAGTTCTAGCCTTGCACTGCACAGGTGGATGGATTGGGATAACTGTTCCCTTGATCGTGCGTGGCGTGGATTCCGCGCTTCTTGTTCGTGAGCTCTATGAGGTTGCGGCGTATTCGGCTGCAGTCTATATGGCATGTGCACGAGGTATCGAAGGTGGCTTTATCCTTGAACCTGATCCAGACATGGTCGTGATTCCCGGTTGTGCTGCGCCCTCAAAATGCTGACCGCGAAACCTTTGGTGCCTTCGTTGTACCTTTCATCCACCAGGGTAGATTGGACCCTGTCGATGGCAAATTCGAGCGGGAGAAGCCCATTCAAGCGCATAGCAGCAGGTCTTTTTCCTATGGACAAAATCGCCGCTTCTTTGTCCGCACGCTAACCGAAGATGCCGACCTGCAGCTGAAATGGTCTTGTTTTGTATGACGCAATGGCTTGTTTGCTCGCGATAGGAGACAGCCCCGGTGATCCTGAGGCCTACGGCGGCAAAGGCATAGACCCGCGCTAGCGAAACGTGGCACCAACTAGCCATGAATCTGTCGGCGCCAATCTGCCTCGCCCCTTGCGATCAGCGGGGCCCGGCGGCGTGATCGCGGGCGGAGGCGGGCCGAATTGTGCGGGTGCTTTGATCCGCATTTCGCCGTCCCCGAACCGCCCGCCCTTTCCATTTCTGGAGTCAGGCCCGTCGATGCCCGCCTGCGACAGTCCCGCCCATCAATCACAAAAACATCAGCCCTGAGCTGAGCTGATTGCGGTTGCATTTCATCACCGAATAATGCAGCACCGAATCTTTCTGCCACTCCGATGCACGTTTTACGCTATCAATGATCTTCGATGGCGATGTTTTTCCGACACCAATCGGAACATGTTGCTGCTGTCATACGCCATACGCTTTCCAGACCTTTCGTCCCCGAAGAACGAGGGCGCGCTGCCACTGATACATAATGCCGTTGTCCGATGGCAGATTCTTTTTTTCGAACAACCTGTCTTTAGGCCAGCGCGATCCTGGTGGCCCGGACCTTGAATCAACATCGGCTCTGCGATGCGAAATGTGCCCTGGTGCGATGTCAAATACTTCCCTGCATAAGAAGCTCCAGGCAGCTGGGTTCCATACCAGAGTCACTAAGAACTCTTTGAATTTGACTATCGCATGTATTCGTCTTGTGTGTTCTAGCCATCTACCGACGACGCGGCGAAGCATTGCCAGCCTGACGTAGGAACAGGCGATGCGCGCGCTGGTCCATAACACGTTGTGGCCGAAATGTTTGCCCTAATTTCAGGGTTGATCCGCAGCAGAATGGGCCGTAGACGACCAAGCTCGATCGTGGAGTCAACCACCAAATCGTTTGTCCCTATGATATTTTCATCGAGCTTTTTCTATGTTCGATGTGCATTCTAGATCATCCATTTGACGCTGTTGTGTCTCTGCTAGCGTCCGGCGCGTCTATGGGGCCACCGGATGAACCTATGCGGAGCAACTTTGCCTTTCTGCGACTTCATCTTATAGGCTTCCTGTGTGGTTACCGGCAAGCTGAAGGAGCCCATCCTAATACGCGATGAAAGCTATCGAGCACATCTGTTCAAGAAGACAGGCGCATACGTGTTCAACTCCCACCCAGAAGCAACCTCTCGTCTCCGTCATGACTCGTGAGTTTCTTTGCTTCTCCATCTATACTGGCCTCCATTCCACTGCAGGCGACAAGCCGATACACGGACGCATCGAGCGATTCCTTGGATTCTTAAAATTGCAAGGGTGGTTCGTTCACACTCTCCGATAGGTTCTTCACTGCTAAACACACAGCGTTTCATATCCACGCGTCATGCATTCTTGGTGGCCCCTACATCGCGCCAATCTTGACCATGGCGTTTGGACTGCCCTCGGAGCGCTTAGCTGCACAGCACCGGATTCCAGTCGGGAGCAAAAGGAAAGGGATCTGTAGAATGGCGCTGCGCGCACCACCCAGGCGCCATTTAGGAGGGCACAACGCGTTGGGGCTGTGTCTGCCCCTATAGGTCGGTGTCCCTGTTCAAAGTTCAGACGTACGTGTCATCGAGGAAAACGGATAACTCCGCGGACGTCGTCGACACCCGGGCCCTGCTTCGACGACGGCGCCGGAACTGTTCAGGGGCCGCCGCAGTTCTAAACCTCAATACAATACAGTTCATTTCACCTTCACCCCATTCATTCATCGCCTAGCGAGGCAATAGAAACGCCGCTGATTGCACCGCGCTTCACGTATGAGTGTCAAGGCACTGGGCGTGCACGTCCGCGTTTGCCTGCCATATCTTTCATGTCCGCGCGTCCCAGTCCCTGCCTCTCGAAAAGGTCCTAGGGACGCTTTAAGCTGCGTTCCTTGCCGCCGGCGTGGCCCTGCAAGAATTGCTTCCGCCTATACCCCCGGCTCTCCTAAGCGCTCCACGGATGGGCGTTGCGCCGTGCTCTCGAGCCAGTTACTTCCGAAGGAGAGGCGTCTCCCCCTGGGCGGGGCTTACATCATGAGGTGTGTGTTGTTGATACCTGTGCTATGGACATCGAATCTCCTGGCAGGGTGCGGTGTATGAGGTCAAAAGCCGATTGCTACTTCTCCGAGCAGTGTCTGGCTACTTGACGGTGCCGGACGCAGTAGCATATGGAGGAAGAGTAGACTAGGATTGGGCAACTAGATAGCAGACGTAGGACGTCCGGTCTGGAAAGACGGGCGTTTCGAATTGTGGCGTTTGGTACTACCGTTCTATGAATAAAATCCGAGGCATCCACTGGTGTCGTCTCTATGGCGCGATTCAACTGACTCGAGCGTGTCGTTGATGGTCTATTCGACGATCATCTTTTCACTGCCTACCCCAACGTGGAGCGATTCATGCAACAGTATACGAGCTAGTCTACGTTAACGTTCAACGTTCAACACTCAGGGTGCACCAGTCTAAGATCCGACGCCGTCGGAATACCCTTCAGCATACAGGTGACGACTGTCCACGTAACATCACAGCATGATCTTGCGCACGATTTGTCATGAAAGGGCCTCCTGGAAAAATGACTGAATTGGACTTGATCAAGAGGAGAAAGAACGTGTTTCACGTCTGTGATGATGATATACACGTTCGAGCAGAGGCTGGCTAGATGACACAGTGATTACGTGAAATTGCAATAATATTGGGGATATCTCGACTGAAGGTATGTTTGGTTGCGATGCAGATGTCCACGGACCGTGAAAGAGAAACAAAATCCGGTAATAAAGAGACGAAATGAGCGACTGGGAGAGATGCAGATAGGAGTTGTACATGGTGGCCGCATGGAAAGGATCACTGTGAATGGGTTTTGTTAGAGTGGCTCGCAAGCGAGAGACGAAGGCGGCACCGACATAATACTCGATCTCAAGCTGAGGATGCATGCATATAGTCAGTGCCCGATGCACAGATGAGCGTGCATGGCACGTAGAGCCACTCACAAATAAGAAGGCCACCTTGCGCGGCCAGAGGATGTTCAACCCGACCGGATTATACATTTGCACATTGAGATCCTCGATCAGATGCTGCAGGCGTAGCATTTCCTGCCACGCGAGAAGCACGAGCAGCAAACGCGTCAGAGCCGGATTCGATGCCGATCCGCCGACCACCATGCAACCTGTGGGTCCGGCGGTGTACAAACGCACGCACCTTCTCATAATGTGACGAGAACGCCAGCCGCGATAGCTGAAGCGTGAAGAACGAGAGCGCATTATCGACGAAGGAATGGCGCAGACTATGTGCGGAGATGAGCAGCTCGTTGATGGAGTTTATCGTCTCGAGGAACTGTGTCGGTGTTAACTGCTTCCGACCATTCAGTCGGCGGTCATGAATGTATAAGTTTGGCGTCGGACAATAGAATGAAAGAAGCAGAGACTGACCCGACCCTCGAACTCTAGAGGATACACCGGAGCAAACTGTGGTAGCTCCCCTCCTGAGAAGTCCCTCTCAATCCGTACTATCTCCCGAGGATGGTGTATCCCAATCTGCCCAATAGGTGGTGTTCCAAAAGCTGCATCTGGCGGCGGAGGTGCAAAGTAGTATGATGAACGGGGTATCAGAGGTCGTGACGGCCTGAAGAAGGTAGTCAGGTTAGTCTCCAGGAGTACACAAGCTGCAAGACATGAACGCACGAGAGTTTTGTACCACGGTAGTTTTGTGCATTCTGGGTATCCGACGAGCCATACGATGCTCCTTGACCGCTGGACGTTGGCGGGCTGATCTGCTCCCAAATGGGCGGCGATGGTGGGTTCCCTCGCAGCGGATGGTCGTGCGCTTCAAGTGGCGACTTCTGCGATGGCTCACCTCGTCCGGACGGCGATGTCGAGGTAACCGTGCCCAGGTCGTCCTCGGACCACGAAACGATATCCATCTCCCCTGGGGAACCATCCTCATCCTCTGTCGGCGACCAGTGAGAGTGACGATCGCGAAGCGTAAGTGGCGAACTCGGAGGAGACATGTCGGGCAGAGCGACTTTCATGCCCACCATCGCTATTTTCTGCGCCGCCTCAGCTCTCGCAGGCGCTGCCTGAGAACTCGAGCTCGCGCTAGGACTTTCATGTCCACTATTGCTTCCCTCCGCAGCTACTTCGTGTGGTGGCTCGTGAGATGGCTCCGAGGGGCCCGCTTGTGACGGTACGGAGGTCGATCGCTGCGGCACGTCCGAGGTCATCGTATCCGAGAATGCAGCGCAGGTGCGGCAAAGAAAAAAGAAATCGGGTAGACGTGTCCGGGAAAATGAAGGAAGATATAATGAAATGGCACGGTCAGAACTGTCTCATCGAGTATGCTGTTGCGATCAGGCAGAATGAGGCGGTCTCCACTCCGCCACCGCCAACATCGCACTGCCGCGGAGCCTAATTTATGCAGCTGGCAACGCGACCAGAGCAGCCTCCAAACGTCTCTCCTCTCTCCGTGTTGCTGGCAGCTTCCGTGCAGACATACGCTTCGACATACAGAACTCTGAAGAATCAACCCCGAAAGCCACGGGGATTACAGATTGTATACTTCATTCGTCGAGGCTATCACCCGATAATGAGCACGCCTATTCGTCGTGTTTCGCTCGTCCTCTTCCGCACGCATTGCATCAAGCACGTTTCGCTTCTCTGAGTTGCAATTCGACGCCTAGGATCCAATGGGCAAGACATCTGACGAGCTATTTGGGCGAGCGACGACGCAGCGACGCACAGCAGGAAGCCTTGCGTCTTTGTGAGAGGGCTCGCGGTGAATATTGGTGAGTATATGCGCATCATCCTCCTCATAATAATCACAAGCGATCAGTTGCGAGGTTCTCAAGGAGACGTATGTTATCCCACGTTCATGGTTCTGAGAGGCGTGGCATAGGTGAGTTCATCCCAGCTTGGAAAGTTCTCTCATGCTTGGGAGGGATATCGTAAAGCAGTAGCAGCTTGGGAAGGCATTTTTGGCTCTACAAATGGGCCTCGCCTGCATTCACAGACTGGCCGCGGTGCGTCGGGATGCATACTGCCCGCTTCTCAGACCAGCGATTGCTCGTGCAACATTTGCACTCCGTCGGCTTCACGAGTGCCCGAAACCTGACAAAGACGGGTCACCCGATGGAACACGTTTAGAACCAGTGGGTACGTGGAAATTCGCTCACGAGAAATTTGAGACAGTTGTCTTGGCATTACCATGTCTCCTTCATGGTCTCACAGATCCAGCATGGAAGCCACGAGCGAGATTTTCCTCGACGATGATTAGCAAGCTCTACCATGACGACTGGTCGCATGAATGCTCAGAGATGTCCACAACTGATCGAATATACCCTCATCCAGAGAGGCGAAAATAAGCATACTTTTGTTTCATAATAACCGAGACATAGTGTACATGACTACTGGCTACTATATTCGATGTTTTAGATACACGATGCAATCATAGCGAGAGCGAGTCATGTCTGGTCATCAAAAGGTCGTTCACATGTTCTGAGAGGCTGGCACAACGAGGAGGAGAACGAGAACGAGAAATGCGACTATACTCGAAGATGAGAAAAATTGTAAACGTACGTACTATTCGATGCTAGCTCCTACTCCAATCGGGTATGTATGGCTACAGGACTCGAACATATCGTCTATTGACTGGGCCGACCATGACTGGACGCAGGCGACGGCGTGCCCTTCGCAGCAACCCCGTTTCCGGGAGGAGAGCCCGACGCCGACCCAGGCTGGTGCCCGACTACCTCGCGCTTGTTCCGCAGCGGCGACGTCGAACGCGAGTGCATCCTTTCGTCGGTCGGAGAACCGCCCGCCGGAGCCGCACTAGTCGGAGGTGAACGCGCTATCGGAGGGAGCGACATTCCACCGTGGCCGGATAAACCTGCGGGGCGAGGGTGCGGCGGAAGCCTGGTAGGCAGCGGCGGACTCGGGTACGACGAAGCCTCCGGGTGTTGGCGGCCCTCTGGCGAGTGCGAGGTCGGTTGCTGGCGGAAGGGAATAGGAGACAGACGTGTCGGCGTGGGCGTCGGTCGTCCGCTCGATTGAGGAGAGACTCGTCGCACACTCCCGCTGCCCGTCCTTGAGCGCTTCAGTTCGACATTTTCGTCGAGGTTAGGACCTGGGCTTAGCGGACGCTTCGTACCAACAGGAGGCGAGCTGCGCGAGGACAATGACGAACGGCGGTGCAGAACCTGGAGAGACTGCTCGGGTGCGCGGCTTGCAGGTGCGCCGTTGGACAAAGAACCAGGGAAGGCTCGAGGCTCAGGCGCAGCACGCCGGAGATCCATGAGCAAATCGACACCCTCGTCGTAGTCCTCGTCGACGACCCTCGAGGGAGCATGCGCAGATCCCGTCGGCGAGGGCTGAACGGACCGTCCCGCAGAGCCTGAACCAGATCCGTTCGAGCTGGGCTCAGGGCTGCCGGAGCTCTTGCCACTCCTGTACATAGAAACCCCAGCAACATATCCCGGAGTATCCGTCCGCGAAGGCTCCTCCTTCACGCGCTTGGCTGGTGCCCTCCGCTTGCGCTCCTTCTTCTGCTGGTCTGAGGCTGTTGCCGAGCCGGATCCCGATCCGGATGACTCGGAGTCCTTGTCCTTCGTGTTCCTCCGACTGCGATTCTTCTGGTCACCTGATCCTTCAGGGCTCTCTGATGTCCTCGTATAGTCCAATGGCACCTGTGGGGGAGCATTCCGCACGCGCATCGACTCCGGTGAGCTGTACCTGCTCTCCCGTTGTTCCACAACCGGCTCACGCTCATACTCCCTCGGAGGAGGCGGCGCCTCGCGAGCATCGAAACGCGGATCGTAGCGTCCCCTGGCCGCCTGTTCGTGCATCACTGGCGACCGTCCAGGTGCAACAGCCGGACCTGAAGGCATGCCCGTTCGGGCGTCCCAGTACTGGCGCGGGTACCCAGGGTGCGTGGACGGCGGCGACATGTTTGGACTACGTTCCCGTGGGCGCGGACTCGGACCCCGTTGCGGCATCGGGGGCGAGTGCGGGCTCCTGTACAACGCCTGCGGGTGCGTTGGGTATTCAGCACCCGGACGCCCTCGACGATCTCGCTCCCACTCGGGGTGTTCCATTGTAACAATGCGCCTATCCCAGCCTGGTTCGCGTTCACTCATGGGAGGCTCACGGGAGTAAGACGCAGGCGGAGGGGATCGTCTGGTCATCGCGGTTTGTCCAGAGACAACAGGAGGTCGGGCTTCAGAGAAGGATCCACGGCCGTTTATCGCTGAATGCGGACGCATAGCATGAGGCGACGGCGAGGCCGACGCGGACGCGATGCGGTAGCGACCAGCAGGCGATTCGTGAGGGTGAGGCTGTGCATGAACAGACCCGCGCAGCGCATCGGGAGTCGGCTGATGTTGAGGGACAGGATGTTGCAAGAGGAGACTTTGTCCCGCCGGCCCTCGAGGACCATTCTCACGAACTTGCGGTGGGTACGGCCCTGACGGTTCGCGAGTATGCATAGGTGGACGCTCCTCCATCGGTGCAAGCGGGGTATGCGTAGGCGGATGTCTGCTTTCGTCGAGCACAACCGGCGGTGGCGGCCCGCCCCTGAAAGGTCCCGGTGACGAGCGACCAGAGTTTATCTGTTGCGTGGGCACAGGAAGAGATAGCTCTCCCGGTGGCCCACGAGAATCAGCGCGGAACAACGGTGGTGGGCGAGGGCCGGCACCAGACAGAAGCATCGTCGATGGACCAACAAGACCGGGAGGCGGCATCATTGAGTTAGCGTATGCGGTAGGATGGACATCTTGAGGTCCTGGCGCCGCAGGCAAAGCACTACCAGTGGCCTGCGCTGTCCTCAACAGTTGAAGACGCTGAGTGATAGCAGTGTTGCTCGGGTCGAGCTCCGCAGCACGTGCGTAAGCATCGATGGCATCCGAAATCTGATTGTTGCAGCTCTCGTACAGGCTCCCGAGATCAAACCAAACCTCCGATATGTATGGGTTGATGCGAATGGCACGGGAGTATGCGTCAAGCGCATCACGGTATTGATTGATCTGGAAGTAGAGGACGCCGATGGAGCACCAGAAGGTGGGGTTGCGACCATCACGGTACACCGCCTGCTGATACGCCTCATACGCCTTGTTATACTTCTGACCGGCCATGTACGCCCGGCCAAGCAGATACCAACTCTGCGCGTCAGTCGGATCTATTAAATGACGTGAGCTTGGAGTAACATGACTATATGCGCGGCAACTAACCCGCTTCGAGACTCTTCGTCAAATACTGAATCGCAATCTCCTGGTTTTGGAATGACGAGCCGTCTTGATGATACAGCCAGCCGAGTTGCTGCAAAACTTTAGCATGACCCGGGTTGTCCATGACGACGCGTTCGTAAGCATCGCGGGCGTGTACATGCTAATACAATGTCAGCTACAATTGTGGAACAATGACATGAGAACAAGACATACGTCGCGCTGCTGCTCAAAGACATGGCCGATCTGGAACCAGATGTCGGCGTGCGCAAGCGGGCTCGGTGGGTTGCGGAGTATGCGGTCAAAGCATTCGAGGCTCTCCGCGTATTTCCCTTGCTGTTTGTAGATGATGCCGAGACGAAAGAGGATTTCATTCGCCTTGTCGAAGTCTGTAGGCACATGATCAGCGGGGGCCGCCCACGTGAGCTATCAGGGAAACGCACCCTTGTCCATTTTGAGGACAGAAGCGAAGGCTTCCTCCGCATGGTCCAACGAGCCATATCTGTCATACAGGATGCCGATGCCATACCACAACTTCGGGTCCTCCTGGCAGACACGCGCTTTTTCAGGGACTGCCCCTGAAGCGGATAAGGAGGTAATCTAGACACACCTTAGGATTCGGCAGCAAATACAAGGCCTGTTGGTAGGCCGCATAAGCCTTCTGGAGGTCATCCTGCATCAAGTAGCAGTGTCCTTCGCCACGCGTGAGCCGCCTGTCCTGCAAATTGGTAACTCGCTTAACTTACCTAGAGCACTCCATACTTCACCATTGTCTTGCTGCATGCTGATAACACGTTGAAAATAATCCACAGCCTAAATGACACAATAACCGCATTAGTCGATCATTCAGAGATCTGCACAAAATGACGTAAAGAAAACGCGGTGCAGAAAGGCCATATTTGGAAGGGCCTATCGCTGAGTCTATCTCGACAAGGGAACGGCATTGGCCGGATGCGTGAGAAACGGAAACTGACCTTCGGGTAATTCTCTTTGATCCGAGCAATACCAGCGACTTGGGTGAGGCCAGGAAGCGACATCGGATTGTGACGCAGTGCATTCTCGTACGCGGATAGGGCGTGCTCCAGGTTTCCCATCTGTTCGGCGACTCGGCCTGCAAGGGGATTGATCGATAATGAGCTCGTGAATCTGATTGGCACCGCCGCCAACCGGAGAGCGCATACCTATCAATAACCACGTCTGCTCATTTGCCTGAGCCAGCTTCTGGATCGAAGACGACGGAGCGCTGACTCCGTTGGAGACTGTGCTTGCCATGGCCGGCGGAGACAGCTGGGCGACGGCCGGTGGGTGATTAGGCGGACCGGGCAGAGGACCCGGCGGAGTTGGCACGCCATTGCCATTGATGTGCGGGGCATGGGTGAGGGGATGCGGCGGCGGAGGCGGAAGGGAGTGGGAGTGATGGACGGGGTGGGCGTCGAGCATGCGCACGTCGCGCTCGGTCTGGCGGGGGGTGTGTCGGAGAGACATGGGGACCGACGAGGACGGCAGCGACGAGGGCACTGCGACCAACGATGAATGGGGAGGGGGCGTGAGGGGCAGATATCGCACGTGCGGGGGGGTGAAAGCAAAAGGAGAACCGGGCGCGGGGGAGGCGGTATATATGCGGGAAAGGAGAGATCAGGGCGAATGGCAGCGATCAGAGATCGAAGGCGCTACGAGGAGATCTGGGCGACTGGCAGAGTGTAGCCGTGCGCGTCGCCGTGCATTCACGGAAGCTCGCGACCGCCTCGTGCCTGTTTTCTGTTTTCGAGTAAGCGCCGTCCTTGCCCTTGGGGCCACTCGGCGACTTTCTTATCGAGATCCAGATCCAGATCGTGGCCCGGCCCCTCGTCACCGCGTCCCCATATCCGGTCGACACCTCCTCTCGCACAGCAGCAGCCTGCTTCTGTCATCGCGAGGTGACAGACAGCGCCAGAGCCGACCGTGCATCGCCTGGCGTGCGCTCTTCGCGAGGACGTGCACACCCGCTCCCTCGCCGCCAGCATCCGTCTCATGTGATTCGCCAAACTCCGATAGGCATCCGGTATAGCCACCGGCGGCCAGGATCATCCACTTGGCGGATCGCCACAAGCCCCGTCCATTTGTCGCCGCAACCAATTTTCGCATAGCTTCTTCTGGCCAGCACAATTCGCAAAACTCGTTCAGGATCCGCCGCACCTGCCGTCGGTTCTTGAAGGAGCTCATCGCCGCGGCGCAGCGAGCCAATCATGTTCGCTCGCCGCACGTCAATGCGCCATCAATTGCTGTTCACGTGCAGCCGCAATTGTATCAGTTCGATTGCTGTTCGCTGAGCGCCTGTTCCGGACGCCTCCTACGCCGCAGCATCCCAGGCTCCGGAATTGATGATCGTGACGAGCCGCTCCCCCAGACCAAATCCGGCTACTACGGGCCGTCGCGATAGAACGCCCCGATTCCATCTTCGATCGATATGCGGAAAATTACGACCCTGGTAACGCTGAGGTCATCTGGGCCATCAGCCCAGGCTGATGTTGCACACGGCTCGGCGACGGGGCCGCCCAAATAACATTTCAACCCAAGTTAGCCATACCTGGCACCGCACCCGCGTGCCGGCGTGTGCCTGGGGCTGGTGTGATCGTCTTCGCGCGCAGGCGCGTCCATTCAGTCACACCATTCAGTCTGACGCATGCAGGATTCGCCGCGATGGCTCACAGGTGTGCTTCTGAAGGTGAGAAGACCTGCCAGGAAAGGCGCTGCTGTGCACGGGGACTGCGAACAGCATGAGGGTTCTTCCTAATTTTCCTGCGAATTTTATCAAGTGCTTACGACAGCAGATGACATGAGCGAGTACAAGTATATATCCAGCCGCCATGCCCGGGAAGCGAAGGCCACCAGGCCGTGTACATCTCAGATACACGAGCGGATCGGGAACTAGGCCGTAGCGGGGGGACCATGGTCATATCGCTCGCACATCACTCGTGTGCATGAGCGTGGGTCCTGCGGTTTAAACAGGCTCTGTATTCACATTGCCGATTGCGGCCGCCTCACTGCAGCGTTAAGGCTGCCGGCCAGCAGGACAAGTGCCCAATTCACTTTTGTCGAGAAGCGAAGCAGCCGGCGTCAGAAGTTTGAGCACAGGACACAGCCGCGCTCATCCCCCAGGGTCTGAATCGGTATCGAGATATCTGATGAATTCAAGTCATTCCTGCGTAAATGACACGCCTGTCTACGGAGCGGCTCATTGCGCGACCCTGGCGCTCCCTGACGCTCCGGGTGACCGCCAGATTCATTCACGCCTGGCACAGACGCGGATGGCGTGTTCAAATTCGACGGCCAGCCGACGTCGCCATCCTTGCGACGCTCCAGCGCGCAAACAGCGGCCGATACAGCGGATCGAGTCAAACTCAGCATAGACCGTTCTCTCCCGCGCGCAATTTGACGGAGAAGCTTGCTCATCTCGGCCTTGGAAGACGGTGATCACGAACCTGCCGTCAATGGGCATGCAGAGATAGACGGGCGCTCGCTCATTCGTCCTTGAGAGTTACCAGGAAACGGCGCCTCATGCACCGGGCAGGTGAAGTGGTCCAGATTGAGTGCGGATGCGGGCGACTTCTCGCGAAGCGCTTCATATGAGACAGACTAGAATGGAGCGGAGAATGATAAAGGCTGGGAGTATCCCAGCCGTCGTGCTGGATACTTGATCAGATCGTCGTCGCGAGCGGCGGTTTGAATCTGCACGGACGATCAGAAGGCTTCATAAGCGGCCAGCAGGGCACGCGCATGCGCCGCAGAAGCGATAGATATATCTATCAGAGCTTGCTTGTCAGGGAACCGCACCTCGGACAGTTGCTCTGGCTGCCGCCCTGCTGGGGTCATACATATCAAATACCTTGATCATAGCCGGTGTAGTGCGGAACGATGATGAAATTGCACGATCGTCAGCAGGTACACACGCGCTATGTATACATGATGCAGCGCCTTTTTGAACAATGATCCTGATGCCTGCTGCGAGATGGGACGATAATACGTGTTTATCATATGACTCGAGATTGAGTTATCGTTGTGGCGCGGCGCCAGATGGACGCGTAGATGGACGCTAGCCTCCTTCCGACAGACTGCCATTGGGAGCTGCTCCGCCTAGCGCGTTGCAGCCGTCGGCAGCGTACCGTTAAGTAGCGTTTCATCACAATGTGTCGCCCTTGCTCGGAAGCTTAAGGCGAGATGTTTCTAAGCCGGGCCAGCGCGTGCGCGCGGGCGGGTGTCGAACAGGTTCCACCTGATTCGGATGTGACACCGGCCACGTTGCCTGTGACAGTTTGCTCGCCGTTCGAGCCCGCCGCGTGTACAGCGTTTACTCACACTCGTTGCACCACACCATTAGTGCTATCAACTGCGGCAGTGGCGACACGATGACTCGTAAGTTATGCGGCCTTGCTCTAGACGACCCTAGGCTCTGTCGATTCACTGAAGATCTGTGTGGCTCGTGATGCTCGCTACACCTGCAGGAGGCAACCAGCGGGAGACGGATCGCCAGAAGGCGCAGAAGAAGTTGGCGCAAAAGAACAAAGTCAAGGAGAGCGCCGCGTCACTTCAGCAAAGGCGAGAGAAGTGAGTGCTATTGATTGTCATGGCAAACTATCGCGTTCGTGCCGCTGACACGACGTTTTCCTTCGCAGGGACGCTGAGATTCTCAGACAGAAACAGAAGGTGCGCAGCGCACGTCATATTATGACATTTGTTTTTCTTTCTCTGACACACTAAGCAGAAGAAGGAAGAGGAGAAAGCGGCTACTGCTGGCGGCGATGCGAAGAAATAACATCAATGCTGGGAGGGTTCCCATCGTTCACAATAGAGGGACCGGCGCCACCGGGGACGTCGACGTTGGTCTTGGACGTGCGGGCAGTTTAGTGCGCTTTGTGATTTGCTTTGAGCCAGTGTTACATGTATCGATCTTTCGTACCCTTCAGTGCCGGATCTGCTAGTCCATTTAAGTATGATGTTCAAAAGGGTCCTGAATGTGCTTGGCAGGAATGCAGGTGTCGTTTGAGTTGTTTATGCGGTTCTGGACGGGCGTTCATTGAACAATGCCATGGGCGTAGCGAGAACGGACGTGTCAGGTGTATGAGGGTGCGTGACGTGCAGATGCGAAGAGATCTTACTGCGTGGATTCCATGCTGAATGGGGCTGCGAATCGCCGGGATTCCATGGAGACGAAGTTGAGCTTTCTTATGGGTTCTAATCGAACGTCACGCAAACAAGCAGATCGTTGGCCACAAACAACGAGAGTCAAAGCGCACGCTATCGGCGGGGTACAGACGAGATCCCCGGCTGCAGCATCCGAGATCTCAACGCGCTACGAGGAAAGGGTGAGTTTTCAGCCAATAAGGAGACCGAGTTCCGTTATGAACGTCTCCAGGTAACGTCACTAAAGCCCCTCTTCCGTGTCAACGGCGCGCCCAGCAGTTAGCGTGCGTGCCTATCTGCGCAACTGCAGCCGATGGCTGCAGCACACATGGAGGGGAGATCCAGTCGAACAGAAGTCCCGGAGCAGCAGGATGGGCCCACAGCAAGGGTTCTGCGAGCCGCAGAAAGACGTCCCGCGAATAGCAATGGCGCGCCAGGCGTGTGGGATGCTTCTACAGCTCCATATATATTGCATCGCTTCGTTGCATGAGGTGCGCTAAATGGTATTAATGCGGCGGGCAGGAGCCAGCAACCCGCTGTGGTGCGTCTCGGAAGGATGGTGCTCACCCCGGACAAGCCCTTCCCATGCGCGGCAGAAGCGTCGAGCGTTAGGGGTGCCCCGAACTCAGATCGGACACAATCATCTCGATGGGAAGTGAATTCTCCGTCTAGACCCTCAGAAGAACATCTGTGAGTGATTTGATCACTGATCACTGAGCTGTGCTCACCATGGCTCAAATGAGACGTTCTCCGCGCTCACGCCTTATCGGACGCAGATCGAAGCGCCCGCACGTGCGTCGACGGACGTCAAACTGCCTGCGAGGATCAGCGAGCTCAAGTTGAAGCGTACAGAACTTCGAAGCAGCTCTGCCGCCGCTACTCTCCGAGATCAGCAGCTCGAGCTTTTGTGGCTGCGCCCTAATTTGCCGGCTGCTCAAAACAGGAATACCTTCCGGATACGAGAGCCATGAGGCCTGGAACCGAGGCACCCCCAAACAATGTGCCCGGGAACGCATCCATGGTGATCCGCGGCATGGTAAAGAATCCCTCGATGCATGGGGCAGGAAGCAGACGTGAAATGGACAGCTCACGCGAGCGCAGCACGACATGCGGAAGCCTTGGCGATGTCGCTGTTCGATGACATCTGGTGAACGTGTTGTCCATCGTGACAGTTGGGATGAAGGTTGCAGTTGCTGATTGAGTCAATGCGCGATCATGCGATGATCGCGATGAGATGCGGCGATTGTTGAATTGCAGGGATGAAGAGATAGTCAGCCATCCGCCCGGGGCATCCGAGCCTTTGCATGCCACTTCCATATGCGAATAGGCTGTCACCCATTCTCGTGTGAACCGTGCATCTTGCGGAAGCATCCCGAGATAACGACGGCCTTTGTCATTCAGATACAATGCCGCCAGAAATTAGAGCCTGGAAGAAGCATTTAATTTGCGACGGGTGCCATTCTCCGAAGACTAGCCGTGCTCGTCATTGACACCAATATCGATGAGGCTAGGTCTGATGGGCACTTTATAGTGATACTTGCCTTCAGTCACATAGCTCTGCAGTTCACAGCCTCTAGATGTGTTATGAGCGTTGTCTGAATGTGATGTGATGGACGACGGCATCCATCACTCCTAGATATCGCGACTTTTGCCTGACATGTGTTCGCAATTACGGGTGAGATATCACGGACGCCGACAGCGACGTTGACGCATGTCGCTTCTAGAGAGCTGTGGCCGGGTGAGCTCGGCGAGCTGATAGGCGTCGGAGTAGTGGAAGCTAGCTCATCAGCGGCGTCTGGTTGTAACTGCCTCCGGACAAGGAGACCAGCTGGTGAGCACGCCTGTCCGCTTCGCTTCGCATGCGATCCCCGGAGAGAGAGCGTTTCGCGGAGGACCGAAGACCGACTGACCGGAGAAGAAGAGACGTCGTGCGGGGAGGCTAGTCCCTGGATCCAAGGAGTTGGCCATGTTCGTCACGAGAGGATACATAGCCCGGGAAAGCGGTACCAAATACGCCACACTTTGATTCGTTCCCATCAGGTACTATCACTGGCTAAGCTTAGGCGAGAACGCCGTCAGATGCAATTGTGCGGCGCACGACACATGTGTACATGTGCATGTGACGCAGCTTGATTTCTCAATTCACAACATGTGTTGTTCGCGACGGCGTGTTTGTAACCGGCTAGGCTGATCAGATCAGAACCTTTATGGTGCAGCGGGAAAATCAACCTACTATATGGGAATCTGATTTGCCTTTCCGTTGCGGTCGCAGCTCAGAAACACTTTGTGAACGGCGGTTGAGCGGCGAGGCAAACGGACCGTAGAAGAGGACCATGCACGCCACGAGGCCCACATACTATGTGAAATACCAGGAAGCTCGGTGGGCGAAGCGGACATAACTGACTGGGAGGCTAATGCATCGCTTCTTTCAGCCTACTATCGCTGCTGCACCGTCGGCGACTCGGTGCTTGTAACCCTCCATGGGCGTGACAGCCGGGCGCCGAAGACTCGACGGACTGCACGCCCGTGAGAACGCTTGATAATGGAGAGCTTAACGTATATATCACTTCTCCCTGGCTGGACGCTTCCGGCCTAGTAACGAACGAAGAAGCTGAGACAGCTGTTCGAGATGGCACTTATAAAAGCGCCACCATCATTGCCCACGGATGGCGTCTCGCGACCGAGATCGGATATCCATCGTAATACAGTCATAGCTCGGTCTGGGAGGCGCTGATTCACCGCTCCCATGTGCCCTCGAGGAACGGGGCCAGCCCTGCCTTTGAAGGCAAAAGATACTCACCGCGTCAACGATGGAGTTAGATCCTCCGTCGAATTGTGCTGCGCATGATGGGCTCCCGCGGTGTCTTGATCAGGAAGCAGCCGTGCGATGCTCACTGGTCAAAAGGCGTGAGCCGAGCATTACTCGATTCCCGATCGCCCTTCGGTGACATGGAAGTCAATGCGCAGCGGTAGTCTTCGCCTACGGAGAAGCATGTGCTCATGGTCAATGAGTTTGAATAAGAACTTGAGATCCGACCTTCCTTAGAATAGAAGCGTTGTATGAATCACGTTCACTATCTTGATGGTCTTTCCTCTTGAGAATATTGCCAATGACTCGGCTTAAACTGAACGCGCGAGGCTTAGTATTGAAATTCCCTGCCCCTGAAGAATATAAGAAGGATGAAAGGTCAGCTGCTCAAATTGCGGAAACAGAGGAGATTGTGGACCCTGAGCTGGTGTTCCTCGCGGTGGATGTCATTGGCTCTCGGGAACGTCACAGAGGGAGCACGCAATCATGATTCTCAGAATCGTTGAAGGCGAAGCGATGCAGTACCAGCTTCTGAGTAACACGCAGCCAGGGATTGTTCATGAGCTCAAAAAGAACTCTGATATTCATAGACGAAGCATTAGATTGAACTATCAAGCTTAGGACGCTTCTCCAATACGCTGTCGACGATGCCAAAGTCGAGCGCTTCTTCAGCTATTAAAAAGCAAATTGAACCTATCAGAACCGACGCATTCGCTCTAACGTAAGGCTTGAGAATATACCCACCGGTCATGAACGTATCTCGTTCAAGGGCCTTCTCTGTGACAGAAACGATCGGCTAAGCAAATGTATAGAAGGCTGACGAACTCATGCACGTACCGAAACGCTCCACGCCGTCTTCCACGCTCTCGCCGTCTTTACCACAGTGCCGTTGATAGACGTTGGTAAGCAAATTCCGAATACGGAGAATTTCCTTGGCATGGATCGCGATATCGGACGCCTGGCCAGAGGCGCCACCGGACGGCTCTGAGAACACAGAGGAATATAAGTCGCAGTCATGTCACGATTAAAGCACGGACAATCCGGTGAGTGCAGTGTAATGATGGTTCCATACGTACGGTGTATCATGATTGTAGAGTAAGGAAGTGCGTGGCGTTTGCCTTTCTCGCCCGCTGCTAGGAGAAGCGACCCCATGGAGCAAGCCTGGCCGACACAGTACGTGTGTATAGGCGACGAGACGTACTATCGGAGATAGCATTTACACCATTCAGCATGCAGACGTCTCATTGTTGAAGTGGAATAATCGTACCTGCATCTACATCTGCATGAATCAGCGACAACTCGTCTCATCAGTCATGCGCCCTCGCTCACTGTGTCATATATCGCCAAGCCAGCTGTCACGCTCCCACCCGGAGAATTGATGTAGAGGTGAATAGGTTTTGAGGTTTCCTCGGCTTCAAGGAAGAGTAGTTGCGCGACAATCAAAGCGGAATCGGTATCCCTGATCTATAAATGGCGGAAATAAGACGTATCATTTGAAGTAACGATCAGCAAAGTCACGCTGTACTTACGGGCCCATAAAGCATGATTACTCTCTCCCGGAGCAACCGCGAGAAGATGTCATAGCTTCGTTCGCCTCTTCCCTAAAAAAGCGCATGAAGCGACCATGACCTATTCACAGATGTTTACGCACTGTCTGTTCAATAACGATTGGCACCAATGATGCACTTGATGGCGGTAATGAAGGCGGAGTTGACCAGTCTGCCGCAAGTGGATGAACATGGCGACGAAGGGTTACATTTCGCGTGAACCGTTTCGCCAACGTCAGAGACCGTGCGTGGGGTCGCAAGATCGTAGCTAGGCCAGACATATTTTCAGTTGGATCTGTGGGCTCACAGGGACGGCAGAGTCGTGTTCGTGGGCCACTGCTGAAACTTCGGAAGCCAAAAGCGAGGCGGCTTGAAGGCGGCCGGAAATTGAAAGGCCACGTCCACGCTCACGTGACCCACGCGTTCATTGAACTGTGTTAGCGTTCGGGTTTGAAGTTGTGTTTATGAGTGGCTTTCAACTTCACTTTGGGTTGTGAGCTTTGATGGCGTCCTGGCTTCCAGAGGCACTTTCACGATCCAGCCTTACTTTTGTCTCCAACAATTCCGACACCATGAGGCCTGCAGCACGAACCACGCGATCCAAGGAAACCCCCATGGATTTCGAGTTCACCTCTCGACCGAGCAGCTTCACAAAGCCTGCGTGGGCCACAGGCGGTGAGGATCCCGGTACACCCCGAAAACGTGAGTGTTCTCAACTCTGGATGTATGTGGGATGTAGAGGACGACATTGCAACATGCCGAAAGACATGTAGAAGCCCGGAAGAAAATCGCACACTTGTCCTGGTTCTATGTAGGAGCTACAGCCTGAATTGCTAACGATTTGGTAGGGACTTTGGAAGAAGCCAATCCGCCCTCTCCCGTATTTCCACCGTCCTCTTCTGCTACCCACTTCCCGACGTTCGTCGCCAATGCCAACGTACCTTTCCTCTTTCAAGAGCCGATGCCTCATACTCCACATCCCCCTGCATGGCAACCTCCGCCGAACTTCTCGCCTGAGAAGGCATTTCCCCAACCGGAGCTAAAGGACGTCGACATGGTCGAAACCACTCCTCCGAAAGTGAGACTTTCATCCCCCGAGAGAGACCCGGACAAGAGCTTTGTAGGAGAACGAGTAGTCGCAACGGGCGCAATGAGACGTGTCTTTAAGTCGCGCCAGAAGGCGAAACAGCGAAGTCGTTTGGGTTTAGCGGACCGGAGTGGCGATGAAGATCTCAGCGAGGACGACGATGAGGAGCACGGTGGGATTAGAGCCGCACCATTCTCACAAACTACTTCGAATCACTACACGCTGAACATGCCTGGACCAGCCCATCCTCCGTCCAGTCTCCCTTACATCTTGCTGGGATACCTGCAATTCTTCTTCAACTTTTCTCTGATCCTCGTCTTCCTCTACCTGCTGGTTCAATTCATTCTCACGGTGCAGCGCGACGTCGAACAACGTATATCGGAGTATTCCATGGGTTCGTCGGCCTCTATTCTATTTCAGGCACGCTGATCAAGCAGCTTCTATTTGCAGACATCGTGCAGGAGATTGCGCAATGCACACTGCAATACAAGACTAACAAGTGTGCCTCAAACTCCATTCCCGCAATGACACACCAATGTGCTGTTTGGGAAACATGCATGAGCCGCGACCCCTCGAAGGTCGGCCGGGCGAAGGTCGGTGCCGAGCTGATTGCAGAAGTAGTGAATGGCTTCGTCGAGCCGATTACCTGGAAGACCCTGGCACGTCTTTCACTTTCATTCTTGCTCCCAGCGGTGTTCATTGTGAGAAACGTCTTATAGATCTTCACGCTGAGTTCCTTGGCCTTCCTTACCGTATTCATCAATGCTTTACTCTCACTATATCGGTCGAGAGTAGATCCTGCGGCACATATCCCTATCGCTCCCCACCACGCCACCCCCTCGTTTCCTTTGGCGCCGTACCCCCCTCCACATCAATACCTCTCCCCTCCGTCGGAATGGCCAAAACGGTGGCCCAAAACAGTGGATGAGGATGTCCGGATTCCGACACGTAGACGGCGGCTTGAAGGCCGATTGTCGGAGAACGTCAAGTGATCCGATGCGCAAACATCATTCTCATGGAGTAGCTTTCAGTTGTGTTCTCGCCGCAGTCTTTTGCCTCTGTTGGAATTACATTTGGCTTACTCTCGCTGATCTCCTATATGACTTGTGGATCATTCTGAGCCAAGAACTGCTAAGCAGTGCGCATCGGGTACTTATATGTCCTCGAGCGGACGCGAATACCACGCTGGCGTAATCATCATTAATATGCCGTGCTATTGAGACAGATCATCAAACTGTACAACACGAGTCACTGCTGCTGCCTCATCGTCTCCTTTAGGTTTGTCCGAAATGCTAAGTCTCATGCCTCGTGAAGGTCTATGTGAGACGCGTGCATTGGCTCGCACGCCGTCACCTATCTTGGGGTATGCTTTCCTCAGCGATGGTATCTTTAGACACTTGACTCCTCCCTGGGCACCGGATCATTCTCCTTCATGTCTTATTCATCACGGCAACTCAATTCGGCCACTGTCACGAACTCCACAGTGATCGCGAATCAGCACAGGGGGGCCTACACGCATCATCTCACGCTACTGAACGCCATCAGTCCGGACATGTGGAGTGCGCAACTGCCCTGTGGATCCCACGACTATCTTAATCTCTGCCGGTGAGGGCGGAACGCATGTCCGGATTTCTACTAGCGCGAGTCTGCTGCATGTGGATGGTATAGAATGAAAACCCCATTGCATTGCGACGCAGGTCCGGATGAGCGTACTCGGTGGACCTCTCGGAACTTCGGAACTCATCCTGTCCCGTCGTGTCCCGGGTGAGGCCGCGTGAGACTCCTATGTCCCTCGAGCGTGCTATGTCACTGAATGGCAGTGCCATTCTGATCCAGAATACTCTCATTCGGAATCTCACTGCGGCCCACTGTCAACAGGTCGAACAGACCTCCTGCCGTTCATGCCAACCCATCACAAGATCGGAATCGGACCGCTCCACGCTCGGACCGCAGAGAAGGTGTGGGACATTGTTCATCCGAGACATCCATAGCCTGTCAACGGCGATAACAATATTTGTTTCCAAGGGGGCCGCATCCGTTACACTGTATATGATTGACGCGGACACGAGGAACGTGGGACGCTCATTTTACGGCAAGCTGATTGCAGCTGAAGTGCTATTCGGACACGGATACAATTAAGCAGCAACTGTGGAGCTCGGAATGCGATTTTCCCTCTTGCGTTTCCATGTAAGACTGATATCAGCGGAGATCGTCCTCGCCTCAACCTGTGCACTAACAGCTTCCTCTAGTATTCTCTAAATTTGTTTTCTTCACAAAGTGTCAGCCGGTCAACGGCCGGACCCTCAAGTCAACAGATGCGACATACAGGAATGCGGAAGGGAACTTGACCATCCCCATGGAACGTTGCTGCAAGTTCTGTGCTCTTCTGGTGCCTTGACCTACTCGTCGCCCAGAGCAACCGAGCTACGCCTTCCGCGAGAACCGCCCGGACCTCAAGGTTGGACGTGTATAGACTTGTGTGAGTGCTTCGACAATTCTGGCCACGACAACGCATTTCGCACAGGTCCGGCATGGCTTGACAGTTGGGACAACGTGGTAAACGCGGGTCCTGTGCCGTTTTATTCAGCTTCACCCATCTTGCTGCGGTCACCTCCGCAGGTACGAATGACGCGAGCTTAATCCGACATGTCATCGACATCCCGTGCGATTCTTCCGATCTCGGAGAACTCGATTTAGCCTTTCGATGCGGTCCCATTGTACTGCGCCGATTGAGCGCTGCTTAGTGCGGGAGCGGGCACATATTACATCCGGGTGACATTAGAATCGAGTTTTCGGGCGATGGTTACAGGGCTCATGTCCGGACTGACGCATGTGGGATGCAGCGCTCGCCGAGTTCTGATGCATACGCTTGTTTGTCAGGAATACGGAACCTCGGTCTCATCGTGATGTGGCCGACCTTCAATTCCCTGTTCATCACGATATCATGAAGTTGATTTATTGAATCGCGATAACGATGTGTCCTTAGTACTCCAATATGTGGGTGAATCGCCGCCTGCCATTCTACCTTTCCGCCGCATTAACTGTGCAGCGTTTAATAGGCTTATAATGCGTGTGGCGTACTCGACAAGTTTACAGCTACAACTCCCAAAGGTCCAGTATTCATGGCAATCAACCCCGAGAATGATTGATATTTCAATCACGGCATAGCGCACTCAAATGGTGCGTTTGTCCGCTTTGTCATAGCTCAAATTTCCATCTATCCAGATATATATGTCATCCTCAATCAATCTTCCCTTCCTCATCAGCACGGAACAGGAATGGACTGCCATCTATCGAAAATATCTGGATATTGATGAACTTCAATGACAGCGCCTCACATGATGGGGAAGCTCGTGGGGGCAATCGGTGGATGATAAATGCCGCAGGGACTCGCGTCTCTTCGGCGCACCGCTGGAGATTACGCGAGATGGGAAATTGAAGATGGAAGGTGATCGCTGATGGACGCATGCAGTGCTTGCAATTGAATCGCAAACTTATCTCACTGGCTGATGAGGATATTGATGGTCGGAGTATTCCACGTTTTGATTTGGCCAGGACAGTTGAGTTGTTTATTCCGTTCTATACGGTTCCTCTGCTAGTGATCAATCACGCACAGGATCATGGACAGGCTATCAGGCGGTTGCGGCAGGATATACTCCTACGCAAATGGGGCTATGCGCATCGTATGGATACATGGAAGGTCTTTCTATTCAATCGTCTTTCCTGCTTCGTTGGAGTCGGGCGGTCGAAGGCCGCAATGATTGCCTTCGCCATGTTTTCGGTCCATCTCACGGCGGTTCACCTTAGCTCCGAACTCCGCGGGACGACGTCCCGTTCGTAATCTCCTACCTCCGGGAACACGCTGAGCTGCTTACATGTGTGATATATATACGTTAAGAAAACAGACGGTGTGCGCGCTCAAAACATTTTACGTAGTGGTCTGTCTCTCCAGACGTCCCTGTGACGCCGAGTCCGTTGTGGCCACCATGACATTGGTAGAAATGCACTCAAACTCTCTGGGGATACCGCCTGACTATCGATCGACCACAACCACAATGCTCCAAAGGAATGCTTCTTCAGTTTGAAATTCACAATTTCAACAGCTGGCACCGCGAGTCATGCGTGTCATACTTGCATTCAGGCACAAATATTGGGAAGGTAATGTAGGGAAGTTGAATGTCGTCGAGCATCACACATGTTTCGTCATCCTAACTGCCGCAAGATTTAGCCGCATAATCTCTCCTGGAATTGTCCGCTCTGAAAACTGTACATGCGGCACAAGGTAACGTGGAGCAAGCCACGCTTGTACATTCCAGTGTCCAGCCCCAGTTAAAGAGCGGGTAATCTACTGATCCTACTGTCTTGAGTACATGCAGCTCTTCCTGTTATTGACAAGCTTCAGTTACAACATTGTCTATGGGCATTTATTTCTGACCTAGGGATGCTTGTTCCGCTCTAGCGGTTGCGAGGAGGGGATTCAGTGACATCACGACCACGTGACCGCGTTTAAGTGCCTCGCTCATATCCCGAGTACAGCAGTATTCATCGCTGATGGTGGGCACAAATGTGGACAATAAAGCTAGCTGTATGACAACGCAGCGCGTCGGAAGGTTGTTTGGAGGCTCATTGTCATCCCGAAGCAGTCAGGACTCGGGAACACTGGCATCCTGGTCTGATCGTTTGGCAAGTTGGTAGTGAGGAGATCAAACTCGCCCCGATACTACTGGGTAGCTTGTCCAACCACTTGGATACTTGCGCTTCGAAAGATATCTGTGTTTGTCTTTCGGAAGCTTGAGGCGGTGAAGACAAAAAGGCTGTACAACTTGCACAGCCGGAGCTCTGACGAGTACTGGAACCTCGTCGATCGTCGTTTCTTTTTACAGCAAACCATTCATTGGGTGTTCCTGGCCTGCCAAAGTCCCATGTACAGCATCGCGTCCTGGGTGTTTCTGCGAATATAGCGGCATATATACAGATAATGCTCGTCAAAGCATGCTGCGAGGATCCTTACAAGACGACCAGATATAGGAACGTTATGACCCGAATTGAGCGCCAAGTCATCTACGTAGGACGAGCCATCCTCAAGCTCCGTGGTTGCCTTCTCATGCATGCTCCGAACTTGCCAACCATTGTGTCGTTTGACAGGTTCATTGTGCGAGCAACTGAGAAGGGTCCAGCAGTGCCACATCTGGGTCCGTATACGAGTATAGCCTGTAAGTGGCTCTGAGCCACAGCCATTATAAGCCTCAATACGCGTTCAATGGCCCCGATACGCCACTGAGACTGAACACCATTGCCACATATGTCCAGGGAGTTACCATAGATGGGCAAAGAAGTTTCTAGGCCAGCGGCCGGCGTGGCCCTGCCTCGCTCTTTGTCTCCTCGGCCAGGTCACACAATTTCGCCGATTGGCATCGGCACGCACGTGTGGCTCGGGGCCACCTGTTCGTCTCGTCACATAAAGACACCCAGCCTGCACTGGACAGCCGCACCAACTCCCCTGCTTGCTATATCCCGCTGCGTTCTTGCATCCCATCGTCTCGGACGCTACACATACTCTCGCATGACTGCATGCAACGTATCTAATATGCCTTGTGCACCACCATCATCAAAGAGGAATGCCCGCCGCACGCAGCGTGCTAATCCACCACAACGTTCGGACAGCGATACCACATCCAGCGACCGTAGCAGCTCTGACCCATCCGAGATCAGCATATCCAGCGACGATTACGACAGCGCATCGTCGCGCGCGAGCGATTACCAGCCCCTTGACCTCGACGAGCCGATATCGTACACATTCCAGGTGCGTCGCCACCGCTCGCGCCTACACACTGCTAGACGCCACCGCTTGGCACGTTTACTGACGCGCGCATGCACCTCGGAACTTGCTCAGAATGGTGACCCGGTGTGGGTGCGAACAGATGATGGAGAGTGGATACAAGGCATCATCTCGGGCTCGAGTACGCGCCGAGCATCGATACGTCAGGTCAGTACTTCCCAACTGTGCTAACGCAGCATTACCGCCTATCTGAAACGTCTGCTCAATTTCAACACTCCATTGCCATCGCAGCTTGCTCGCGAGCGTGTACAGAAGGAGGGCGTGTTCTTTCCCGTTGCATTCGGCCGCAGCTCTCGAAGATACTTCGCTCCCCTGAACGGTGACGTCAAGCCGGATAACGCTGAGGTGAGACGGCTCCTGTCGGAAGGCGGTTGGCTATGATGCTCCTGCGCGCTCATCTGTGCGGCCCTGTCTGGCATCTATTGATATGGCGGGGAGGTCTGCTCCAATCAGCCCATTGCAAGGACGAAGAAGAGAGCGCAAAATTAGTGAAGAATGGAACTGAAACACAAAGTTGTGTCTTACTGTACTCATACCCACACCATCCAAGGTTATTTGTGTGATTCTTCCAAAGTTTCTGTGATGGTATATATTTGCATTATTACTTGAACGTAAAGTGCGAATGGCCTGTCGTTTGCTCTAGTGTCGTTGGTATGCTTACAGCAAGTGCGGCGTTGAAACTCGCTACTGTCCGCGATTGGACTCTGAGGACTACCACTGGCGCGGTGCGATATGCTTTTGTGGAGCCGGGCATGAAATTAAACGTCAGTTATATCATCGGTTTGCACTTACATCAGTTCCGCTTTGTGAATGAGCGCCTCAGCGGTGCCAAGAGACCACTGCGTGAAATCCTAGATTGTGCATCGTGTAATATGATGGCATTTTGCTTATTTCGCACATATTATGAGCGGAAGTCGCGTATATGTCAGGCTTTTGTGCATTTCCTTCTAATCTGCATATTTCGCATCCATTGTAGCCGGGTTACACACGTGTGGTTCCCGAGGTGCGTTAAGTATCCGAAAGGTCGAGGATATCATTACGGAAAGGTTTCCAGATAACACATGCACGAAATCATTATGGTGCAGGATCTCAGGGACTCTGGCTGCGCATATATTCCCCTTCACTGACTACAATCAGTCCATGCGCATATTGAGCCTTTGTTTCTTTCCCTCGTAGCTTGCCACTTCCATCTTTCTCTCCCACTCCTCCAGTGCCGTCCCAGGAAGTTAGAGACTTGTTATTCATGTAGGTGTTTTGACGGGCTTCCGCTCCTCCTCCGGCAGCAAGGGGGTCTCCTCGTCACTTTCGTGGTGAGTGACAGTCATAAGCGGAACGTTACACGGTACGAGGGAGAGCGAAAGGTAGTGCCTCAGGCGGAAACCAACACGAACAACATGTGAAGAGAAGGACTCACCGTCGGGAGAGGGTGCCCGATGACTTTATATACGGCAAGCCGGATTTCTGTCAGAACCCGGAAGTCTGATCATGACTGGACATGATGTGCGCCGTTCCCAGGGGTCAACTGGCAGATCATCAACCACTGCAACCCTTACGTGCGTGGCTCTTCATCAGTAATGTCCGCGATCCTTCCTCCGTGACGTGCACTGTCAATGACATCGCGTGCATACACAGATACACTCATGGAATCAGCGAGGTCACACGGGTGAAGGACCGCAGGTGTGTGCTAAATTCTAATCAGTGGGATGGCACGTTTGGTCGACGTCATCATTAACGAGCCACTGCGCATGCATTCGACCTCTGGGATCGACCTCCTGCACGTAGTGCCTGAGGGCAGCATCACCGTCTGTGGGCAGTTCTTCCCCACGGGCACCATCTTGTCTGTGCTGACGTACACAGTTCACAGGGACAAAGAGGTGTGGAGGTATTCAGGAAGGTATTCAGGCCGGAGAGGCGGGGAGGGCATGACAAGAATGAGATGCAGAAGGCTTTCAACCCGTTCTCCCTTGGGCTGCGGTAGGTGTATTCCGATTATGCGCGACGACTTGAGTCTGAAACTTTGTTTACACAGGACGTATGTCAGCCGTAACCTGACAAGCCCAGAGCTGCTGCTCGTCATCATCTCGTCCATCCTGCGCTGACACCACTTCATGCTGGAGGAACCCGAAAAGAAGGTATGTGCCGATTAATCTATCCACACTGATCTCTGACGGCATGTCTTGCGATTCATTCGAGACATGGGAAGGTTTCCTCCCCACGCCAGCGCAATGTAGAGTCGGCATGAAGCGGAGGACGGTGTGATCAGGATTACATTATTTGGCCGCATCCTCGAATTCCATCGTCTCTGTCACCATTACACCTGAAGATAAACTTTCGTGCTGTCCTTACTAAATGTCTGATGGGTCATTGTATACCAATGTAATATGTATAATATGTTCATCATGCATGCCATCATACATGGCAACTGCAAGTGATTTGAATGATTTGTGGCCACCAGCAGGGGAACTGGTATATATGAAAATATGGTAATTATATATTGAGCATATGCAGGGCTGTCAGAAAAATAGTCTCGGGATCTCCGTAGATTTCGCGCGTTGCAAAACATACGCGAAATGACGATGTAACGTGCTTGTAGTCAGTTCGACTTTGTATCATTCACATCAAATTGCACTTTGTGTGAAATTTGCGTGTGTTTTATTTGTAACTCACGTGAAATGCCCTTATTGCTACCATATTCCCACTTTTCGTGATCTGGGGTTTCATGCAGTGGACGGGGACTCACCGCAACATCAAGTTTCAATATCAAAATAGGTACCTTTGATCGGCACCCACAAAGTGTTCAAGCATTCGACTTGACGTCACTCGGTTTGCCAGGTGGTATTATATGCTGTTCAGCTGAGGAGACTGCTGAGCAAGATGAAGCTATGCAGACAATGCATGCCATAGAGCAAGTGGTATGCGAGTAACCTGCTCGCGGGCTTCTTTCAAGGCTATGGCTGTGCACAGTGCAAGCAAAGACAAAGATGCGTTTCACTGGAGACATGGAGCCATTTTCCACCATGTAATATGCAACACAAATGGGAACTGGTATTTTACCTTTGTGAAAAGGATTCATCTCCATCACAATTGGCATTGCATATTCCAAATTTGGGACTTGACATACCATTATGGCAAATCAGTATTACATATTTTATTTATTTTGAGAGTACATAATCTTAAACACTGCACAAAGACTATGCCAGCATAGAGTATCCAAACACAAATTAGCTCATTGGCCCTCACACTGAAGCATATGGTGGTATATTTGCAGCAGAGCCATATACTCTGTGCATTATTTTATGGTTTCTCCCCAGGCATAGACAAAATAAGTCAACTCAGATTTGTGATGGTGACAAGTTAAGTTCCTATAATTCGCAAGAAGGAAAACTATACGCTACTACGCTTCCCACGATCTCGTGTGATGCTAGCGAATCCAATCCATCCTATGCGCGAAAGGGATCAGCACCAACGCCAACAGCAGTTGTGATGGAAAGACCTACTATTCAACTTCGTCTTCGTCTCCGTCGTTCGCGAAATCTACTCCGTCTCCTTCCTCAATCACGTATAGCATTTCATTATCATCGCCGCTCGCATCCTCTTCTTCATCTTCGTAGTCTCTCGTGCTTGCCGCCTCGTCTTCCAATCGGTCGAAGCCCGTCGGTGGGGGGGTCAGCTTCCGCATGATTTCGGTGCAAATCCACTCGTCCAACCAACAGATGTGGTGGTCCTCATTGAGATAAGGGTCATTGAACAACGACTCCGAGATGCGGTCCATCGCGGTAGGTGTATTTATGGTGTCTTCAGATGAATGTGCTTTCTCCGAATGTCGGTAGGCATCGGGGAGGGTTCTTTCCTCCTGTGGCGCCATGGATACACCCAGCGCCGCCGAACCCATCCCTTCAGCTTCCGGCGTCTTGTACGATGTGTCGTCCGCATGGTGTGTAGTAATCCCATGTTGCATGGGGACCAAGTCATTGTCGGGCTGCTCATATGATGGATTGCCAGCTAGGCCGGGTCCATATGTGGTCGGGAAGGCGATTGCGTTGTCGACGGGGTGAGTCGCAGAATGGGTCGAAGTCTCTTCGACAGCATTGCGAGAGGCGTAATAGTAGCCTCGTTGCGTCTGGGCAGCGGCATTGTAGGTGAAAGGTGGCTCAAGGCGGCTGCTATAGATAGTGCGACCCCGTATCGCACCGTCCTGGAAGGGCGAACGACGACCCACCCGCGCGTATGGTCCGACTTCTGCGCTGCTCTGACTGTCACGCATGCCAGCTCGCGGCTGATAGGTCATCTGATCCTGCTGCATAACCTCCAAGTCTGCCGCTTCATCACGCTCATCCCCTCGTACAGCAAGCGCAGGGCCGCCGGCGTAGGCCCCGATAATGCCCTGTCGAGGAGTTCTGTGCTCATCTGTATCTATCTTGATATCGGCCAACGGTGGGCGTTTGGCGGGCTGCGGAGTCTCTGGTTTGTTGCGATAGAATGTATCGGGCACCTTTTCAGCACCGCACTCTTCCGCGAACTTCTTCCATCCCGCTTGATGGTCGTCCTCCTTCCGAGAAACACGCAAAGCAGATCGTCCCCGTCCCGGGCCGTATCCTGGGCCTGATGCTCCGCCCGTGGAAGCAGTGTACGTTGAACGGCCAGAGAACCTGCTATCAGATATTCTCGAGGAAGACGCGAGGGTACGGTCCATGACAGTTCGACTACAGTTTCTTAAGGCAGGCATGTCGTGTAGTGGATGTATGAGAGGCGAATGCACTAGACGAGTGGGCGAAAGGCTAGTGGTGGAACGGAAGAAAGACGTGTTGGCGCGAACACGAGCTAGGTGATCTCTTATATATCATTCCAGACCCGCTTCCGCTAAACAATGATCGCCTTACCGGCTGATTATCTCAGACTATCGGGAGATTGTTATCACACGCAGTAAGGCCGAACACAAGCGCAAGCCACGACCACGACCTCAAGGCGCGGAACGTTGCCGCCACCGCCCATCGCGTCACGCCCACAATGACTACCAATGGCAAACAAGCTCGCGCAATTCTTAGAGCGTGTCGAGACCATCGTTGAACGACTGGGCTAGAAAATTTTAACTAGTGTCACGAGCGCAGACACGATACCGTACAGCCCGTTCTATAGAACTCGACTATTTGTATTATTTCCACAGACAGGCTGTGCATGTTAGCGAAATCTGATTCAGTTCGCGAAGAAATCGTTTTGCATTGTTCTAGTGGACTGCTGAGAGGCTCTGACATCGCATTGGCTCCAATGTCTGCATCAAAAGGCCGAAGGCAGCTATCGGGGTGGAGTTCAATGCTGGAAACCTGCTCGAAGGACGGCTCTTACAGTCATCTGGTTGCTACAGAAGTGGTAAGGGATATTCTATGCGGCATCGGAGATCGGGACAGTGCCCATGCATCTGGTGGTCGTTGAATACTAGTACGTTTCCGCACTCTGCATAAATAGCGGTTAAATCCGCTTTTGGGTAATGTGCTCATCAAGAACGTGAGCAATCATCTATTGCGGCGTAGATGAGGTAGTGGTAGGCGCAGCCTGTGGTGGCGGGCTGGGCAGCCATTCCTTCGGGAAATCTTTGATCGTCGGGCGGCGGCCACCACGTCCATAGACGTGATCTCCCTTCTTCGCCTTCCGCACCTTAGCCTCTACGTGTCGAGTATCAATAGGAACATCTTCGAATGTGTCCTCGAGGTTCTGCAAAGGCGACGGTCAAGAGGCAATCCGAGCACGAAGTGAAGCAGCTTGCGTTTGCTTCAGCCAGCAGCCTATCCAACGCGTCGCTAGCCCACTTCAAGTTCATCGCGGGCTTGGGGAAGTCTTCACACGAAATCTTGAAGTAGCCGTGCTCTTCACCATCCTCATCCTCTTGCTTTCCGATCCCGGAATCATGTGGCGGCTCGGGTGTCCAGCGAGGACCAGCCAGTAGCTTGAACTTATGGATAGCCGCACTTCCGTTCAGAGGGAGACGGGAAACTGGTACGACAATCGTCCGTTTCAATTCTGCTGGATGTTTCTCCCCTCCGTACGACATTGAACGGACCACCAATGGCATAGACGGACTGGGTGGCAGGAACGGTTTGCGGTACGCTAGAACGCGTCGTCAATGTCAGGAAACTGACTTTGCGCACGTTTGGCTGCTACTCTCTCACTAACGAGCTTGGGCATCTCATGCTCAATGAGGCGCAGGTAATAGAGCACCTGTCGCTCCTGGCGGAGGAGAAGGTGGCCTGCAGCGCTCGAGTCGTCACCCTTGTCCTGCTCAATCAGATCGTCGGATAGATTTA